CAGGAGGGATTATAGTGCAAATGTCCAGTGCCTTGGGGGGAACGAGTAAGGTCCATTGCCCAGAGGGGACTATCGTGCATCGAGGGAAGCTGTAGTGCCTGGGACCTGCCAGAGTGTGGGGCCAAAAGGCCTGAGCCCATAGAAAGGGCAATGGGTCAGCAGGGCTAGAGAACCCAGAGGTCTGGCACACAGGACATGCAAGGTACAAGTCCATAGCCCATGAAGGATGCATGTTAGTAGATCATCTGTGAAGCATGGGAGTGGGTATAGGGGAGGATGGAGCCCACAAAATTAGCCCTTAAGACAATGACCATGAGGACCTGTGTTCCTAAGAGTAAGACCAGGCTTGGGAAGCCCTGGGGAAGCCTCCCTTTCATCAGAAATTAGTAACATTAAGGTGTGGTGGGCAAGTTAAGTGGGGAGGTGTGACAGGGTGACCCAGGGGTGCTGTGAACTCCCCTAGCACCCCCTGGCTACCATGTCTAGCTGGTGTCAAAAATGCACCCTCACCAATCTCGCCCACCACATCTTTGATCTTTTAAGTGTTTAGGGGAGGCTGCCTTTTCTTTCTGCGCTGACATGGTGCCTGCCTTGCTATGCCAGGCCTGGTCCAGTTGCCTGCCAAAGTCCCTTCCATAGAGGCTCTCCTCAATACGCGCGCCCCCTCTTTCCCGGGGCCTGCTCCTCTGCGCTTATGCACTCCTTGCCCTCACCAGGCTTCTAACTGGGCTCGCCCCCTTTCGGGGCTTCCCCTTTCCAGGCAGCACGCCACTGGGGCCTACCCCTCATATGTCTCGCGGTCACCTGCACTCGGGCCCGCGCCCCGCGATCCTCGCCTGACTTGGGCCGCTACTTGCGCTTCCCGTGCTCCTCGCGTTTTGCATGCTTGGGGCTCAGGCGGCCTCAGCCTTACCTGGCCCCAGACCCCTTGCGGGGTTCTACGCCCGACTCAGGCCTTGCTTGCACTTCCCATGCCTTGCCCGCGCTCAGGCCTAGTCTTGCACTTCCTGCATGCCCTTGCCCGCGGTTGGGCCTAGTCTTGCGCTTCTCACGCTCAGGGCTCAGGCGGCCTCAGCCTTACCTGGCCCCAGACCCTTTCTAGGGTCGTATGCCCGACTCAGGCTTCTCACGGTTGGGGCTCAGGCAGCCTTAGCCTTACCTGGCCCCCCAGACCCAGCCTGGGTTCTATGCCCCACTGGGGCTCTTCCCAATTGGGGCTAAGGCAGCCTTAGCCTTACCTGGCCCCCAGACGCCTTTCCTGGGTCTATGCCTGACTCAGGCTTGTCACGATATCGCCCGCACTGGGGCTCAGGTCGGGACACCCCAAAACGTAGCACCCTCTCTGGTGCCAGGAACTCCCCCCACTACTGGGGAGCTCCCTTTGAGGCCTCCTCCACCCCTACAGCCTCACCTGGTCCTCCGGTTTGTAACAATAATTAAACTCCCAAAACACAACTTCCAAGCACAACGGAAAACTCCCCCTCCGGGATCCCAACATAAGTTCCAGGCAAACCTGGCTCCCTCACTCACGGATCTCCTTCTCTGGGTTCCCTCCACCCAATACTGCCAAGCAGCTGCTCTCCAGCCACAAGGCTTCTCTAAGGTGCTGCTCAGCTCTACTTTAGCAAAGCTCCTGCTTTTGAGGCTGCCAGAGGGGAACTGCTCTCTGGCCTCAGCCTTCTCTGGTTATAAAGGCCAGGCCCTGCCCCCTGGCGGTCATCTGACCCAATCAGTTGCTATAGCAACTCCCACCTGCTGCCCTAATGAGTGGCAGCTAAGCCCCTTTTACCATGATTCAGTAGCAGGCACCCTAGTGCCCTGCTACAGGAGGGTTTCAAGGGAATCCAGTTTGGCAAGGGCTGAGTGAGCACCAGGGGGCATCATGACCATCCCTGGGATGGGCACTTGCTCACACACTAAATTGTACTATACCAGACATTAAAACAATTTATCCCTGGATAAAAATGAGAGATCAGCCACAAGGAGGTTTCTCATTAAACAGCAACTTTTTTATGCCGTGGAAGTATCGTATGATAATCTTAATGTGTCACCAGTTGGTGATACTTTCATAAATTATGCAACAAATAAAAAAGTGTATCAGGGACCTATTCTGCACTGTTTTGACAACACAAAGCTAAGAAAAACCAATTTAGCAAAAGTCTAGACAGGCATCCAAAGGAACACATTTTTCGGAGCTTTCATAACATTTTTATAACTGAACAGGATTAGTTGAATTATAGAATTTTTTTCTGTTTTCACTCTTGAAGTCTATGTTTTTCTCTGATTTCTATTCAAAGATATACTTGTTTACCCAGGGCAGAAAAAATAAACATTAAAACATCTACTTTGTCTAAAATCTTTTAAATTAATTGAGAACTAGAACACTGAAGCAGAAAATAAGGCTAGATATGAGTAATGAATGATGCCTGGTTAATGATACTAAAGACCATTAGAGCGGGAGAGAGGCAGTTGCTTCCAGATAGGATGATTGGGGAGGGTGATAGACTTGGCAGGAGGTGAGAGCAAATACTGACTGAGAATAATATGTTATTCAATACAGGCTGTAAAAGAGGAAACTCAAGAAGCAAGCTAGAAAGCAGAAGAATCAAAAAAGGTCAGAAAGGTGGAAAAACATGAAGGAGAACAAAAGGGGAAAAAATAGAAAAGGTGACATGGATCACTGGCAATGTTTTTTCATAACAATTACTTCAGGTAAGAGGGGATTTGAGCTTTGCCTGACTTGAACATGCTTTCATTTATGACACTTTTAGCTTTAGTACAATGTTGGAAAAGTCTAGCGGTATTATATCTTTGGTATATTTTTCTGTCATTCAATCTGGAATGATACATGAAGTATGCGAGGTATTCACACACTCTACAGTCTATGTAGCTGTAGCAATGTTTCCAAAGCATTGTTAAGTAGTCAGAATGTTTTGTGATCCCCCACCTGACTAGATGGCTAACTTGTACTTATGTTAAGGCTCAGGTTTTGGACAGCTAAATAGAAACTAATAAGGAATTGGGTATCTCAAAAAATCCTAATATCAGGAATCATACAAGTTGACAGGAAGAAATGTTTTTTGCATACAAATACTAGTCAATTCTGCACCTTTTCTGGGTTATCCATAAGGCAAATTGTGGACTTATACATTAGAGTAATTTTCAGTGTCCCCAGTCAAGTCAAATTTATTGGTTCATTCATCATTACCAATAGAAATATTTTGCAACTGGAACTTTAGTTACCAATTCTTATGATGTATGAATCAGAGCAGAGACAAGGTTACTTACACAGCTATAGGAGGAATGCTGGTTGGACATTTTATGACCAACTACTATTTCATCAGAAAATGCTGTTTCACTGAAATCAAAAACTTTTATGGAAATATACAATTTTGGCTAAATTTCTATTAAGATGAAAGTTCTAGTCTTGTAACTAGAGAGAGCGAGCAAGAGACATAGCATGCACAGAACAGCCATAGTCCAACGATCAGGGCCTTCACACATGTATTGGAGAATCATAGAATCATAGAAGTAGGGTCGGAAGGGACCTTGTAGACCTTCAAGTCCGACCCCCTGCTTGGGCAGGAGAAAAACTGGGCTCAAAAGACTCCAGCCAGGTAGGCATCAAGCCTCTTCTTAAAGACCCCCAGGATAGGAGCCAGAACCACTTCCCTTGGAAGTTGGTTCCAGATCCTAGCCGCCCTGACTGTGAAGTAGTTCTTACAGATGTCTAATCTAAACCTACTCTCCAACAACTTGTGGCCGTTATTCCTTGTTATGCCAGGGGGCGCTAGGGGAAACAAGGTCTCTCCCAAACCCTTATGGTCCCCCCTAGTGAGTTTATAGATGGTCACCAGGTCCCCCCTCAGCCTTCTCTTGTGAAGGCTAAACACATTCAGGTCCTGCAATCTCTCATTGTAGGGTCTGCCCTGGTGTCCCCAGATCATTCAGGTGGCCCTCCTCTGAACCCTCTCAATGTTGTCCACATCTCTCTTGAAGTGGGGTGCACAGAACTGGACACAGTACTCCAGCTGTGGCCTGACCAGTGTTGCATAGAGGGGGAGGATCACCTCCTTGGCCCTACTTGAGATGCACCTGTGGATGCACGACAAGGTCCGGTTAGCCCTGCCAGCCGTGACCTTGCATTGTCGGCCCATGTTCATCTTGGAGTCAGTAATGACTCCAAGA